TCTCACGGTACATCAGGTGGCCGTGGTTCTCAGGCACACTATTCTGATCAGCACTCATTCAGTGCACCGCCAGCTCCTATCAGCGCACCGCCACTTTAGAGTTTCCGTGGAGGTCATTCAGGTCGCCAGGGCCAGCCACAGTTTCCTCAGCCACAGCGTTCAGAGGGATGTTATGAGCGTGGTGAGTATGGTCACATCAGGAGGGCTTGCCCGAGATTGAGGGGTACTCAGTTGCAGCAGCAGGGTCCCTGTCCTATGATTCAGGCACCAGATGCTCCGCAGCCAGCTAGAGGTGGAGGTAGAGGTGCTAGAGGTGGAGGTAGAGGTCATAGAGGTAGAGCTCAGACCGTCAGAGGTGGAGGCCAGCCAGCAGCAGGCCGTCCCAGGGAGGTAGATCAGAGTGGTGGGGCCCAGCCCCGATGTTATGCTCTTCAGGCTAGGCCCGAGGCAGAGGCTTCAGATGCAGTCATTACATGTATGGTTCTGGTTTGTGATAGAGATGCTTCAGTGTTTTTTGATCCGGGGTCTACGTATTCGTATGTGTCATCCTATTTTGCCCCGTATTTGATCATGCCTAGTGATGCATTGGGTATTCCTGTTTATGTGTCTACGCCGGTGGGTGATTCCACTGTGGTCGATCGATTTCATCGCTCTTGTGTTGTGGTGATTGGGGGTCTGGAGACTCGTGTAGATCTGTTGCTTTTAGATATGGTCGACTTTGATATCATATTGGGGATGGACTGGTTATCACCCTATCACGCTATCTTGGACTGCTATGCCAAGACTTTGACCTTAGCTTTTACCAGGTATGCCTCGCTTAGAGTGGAGAGGGACTCCATGTCATTCTACCCGCCGTGTCATATCGTATGTGAAGGCTCGACGTATGGTCGAGAAGGGATGTTTGGCTTATTTAGCTTATGCTCGGGACTCCAGTGCTGAGGTTCCCTCTATTGATTCTGTGCCCGTTGTTTGTGAGTTCCCTGATGTTTTCCCTTCAGACCTGCCGGGTATGCCACCCGACATGGATATTGATTTCTGCATTGATCTGGTTCCGGGCGCTCAGCCCATTTCTATTCCACCATATCGTATGGCCCCGCCGGTTAAAAGAGCAGTTACAGGATTTGCTTGAGAAGGGTTTCATTAGACCCAGTGTGTCTCCTTGGGGTGCGCCGGTGTTATTTGTCAAGAAGAAGGATGGGTCAATGAGAATGTGTATTGATTACCGGCAACTGAACAAAGTAACGGTCAAGAATAAGTATCCACTACCGAGGATTGATGATTTGTTCGACCAGCTTCAGGGCGCCAGGGTATTTTCCAAGATTGACTTGCGATCTGGCTACCATCAGTTGAGAATTAGGGCATCCGATTTCCCTAAGACAGATTTCCGCACTCGGTATGGGCATTATGTGTTCTTGGTTATGTCATTTGGGTTGACAAATGCCCCAGCAGCTTTCATGGACTTGATGAACCGAGTGTTCAGGCCTTATTTGGATTTATTCGTGATAGTGTTCATTGATGATATATTGATATACTCCCGCAGCCAGGAGGAGCACGAGCAACACCTTAGAGTGGTTCTTCAGACTCTGAGGGATAGTTAGTTATATGCTAAAATCTCGAAGTGTGAATTCTGGTTGGGTTCAGTTGCATTTTTGGGTCATGTTGTATTAGCGGAGGGTATTCAGGTCGACCCAAAGAAGATAGAGGCAGTCAAGAACTGGCCTAGACCAGCATCAGCTACAGAGATTCGGAGTTTCTTGGGGTTGGCAGGCTACTACAGACGGTTCGTGGAGGGATTTTCATCTATTGCAGCCCCGATAACCAGATTGACCCAGAAGGGTGCCTAGTTCAGATGGTCGGATGAGTGCGAGGCGAGCTTTTAGAAGCTCAAGACAGCTCTGACCACGGCACCGGTGTTGGTTTTGCCCACAGGATCAGGGCCTTATACAGTTAATTGTGATGCTTCCCGTATTGGGCTTGGTGCGGTGTTGTGATGCAATTCCGTAGTCCCAAAGTAAACATATAGGGGAGCTCCCGGGATACCGTCCCGTAGTCCCAAAGTAAATACGCAGCAACAACAGGAATTCAATCTAATCAATTCCATATCAAAGTGAAGTAGGTAATCCTAACCTAGCATGGTTCACGTAATACAATTAAGGCAGTTAAGGCAAATAGAGCAATTTAGTCAAGTAGACATGCTTCTCTAGGCTACAGCAGGTTTAGTTTCCAAACAGTGTAAGCAAGAATAGGAAGAACACAATTCAAGGCTATTTTTAATGAAAAACCGGATTTCCAACAATTAGCACAAGTACGCGCTCGTCACCTCACGTACGAGGCATTTCAATTACCACAATATCAGTCCTAAGGGGAAACCGGGAAAGGTCCCCCCCACAAGGTTAGACAAGCCACTTACCTCGAACCGGCTCAAAATCAACCCGAGATCACGTTCTTGCCACGAGTATTCGACTCCAAATGGCCCCAATCTATTCAATTTCACAATGTAAATAACACCTCAAGTAACTGATTCCACAATTAAATTCTAAGCTAATACGCGAAATTAGGTAAAATGACCAAAATGCCCCCCGAGCCCACGTCTCGGAATCGGGTAAAATTTATGTTTTCAGAAGCCTCGCACTCTCACGAGTCTAACCATACCAAAATTATCCAAATCCCATAATATTTCGACCCTCAAATCCTCAAATCTATCCGAGAGGGTTTTTGAAACTCTTCCAACTAAATTCACAGATTTAATGCCAAAACTAGTAATAGATTCGAATAGTCTAACCAAATTTAAGTTAAGAACACTTACCCTGTTGTTTTTCTCAAAAATCTCCCGAAAATCGCCTCTCCCCGAGCTCCAAATTGGTAAAAATGGAAAATGGCTGTCCAGCAAGTTTCGCATCTGCGACCAGACGAGCCGCACCTGCGGTCCCGCAGGTGAGAGAAGAGATCTCGCTTCTGCGGCAGTTTCTGCATCTGCAGACAAAGAGTCCGCTTCTGCGGACGCGCTTCTACGATGTAATAGCCGCTTCTGCGGCTCCGCACCTGCGGAACCCAAACCGCAGGTGCGGTTATGACAGATACCAGCAATAAAAATCTTCCCAAGTCCACATTCAACCTCCGTTAGGCACCCGAAACTCACCCGAGGCCCCCGGGACCTCAACCAAAAGCACAAACATATCCTAATACCTCATTCAAACTTGTTCCAATCATCAAAATACTTCAAACAACATCAAATCAACCAAAACACCTCGGATTCAAGCCTAAGTTTCTAAAATCTTCCGAATTTCGCTTTTGATCAAAAACCCGACTAAGCCACTTTCGAATGACTTGAAATTTTGCACACACATCCCAAATGACATGACGGAACTACTGCAACTCTCGGAATTCCATTCCGACCATCGGATCAAAATCTCACTATCGAACCAGAACTTCAAAAATTCAACTTTCGGCATTTCAAGCCTAAATTAGCTACGGACCTCCAAAACGCACTCCGGACACGCCCCTAAGCCCGAAATCACCCAACGGAGCTAACAGAACCACCGGATTTCCATTCCGAGGCCGTCTTCACACTGTTCCGACTATGGTCAAATTTCCAAGACTTAAGCTCTCATTTGGGACTAAGTGTCCCAAAACTCTCCGAAACTCAAAACCGAACGTCCCGGCAATCAAAATAGCAGAAATAAACTTGGAAAAAGCGGTTAATAGGGGATCGGGGCGTAAATTCTTAAGATGACCGGCCGGGTCGTCACATTAGTGTAATAAAGATCCGTTATTACAATATTAAAAGAATGAACCTAGATATGATTTTTAAATAATTCTTTTTGAGATATTAAAACCATTTTTTTCCAACGTTAATTAAGTTGTTTGTTTAAGAGAGAATGAAATCAAATCAAAAGTCTTCCATTTCTGCTCTTTGGGTCCTTTTGGGGTCTTCTCGATCTTTTTCATAGTTGAGGAGATCTTTAAGGAAATGTATGGTAGTTTAGACAAATACTCTTATGATTGAGTTACTAAAGCCTTTCTTATTAGTGTGCAAATACTCTTTGCTTGTTCTCAGTTTTTTTCATGGTGCTTTGCATGGCATGTACTTAGGTGTACATCTTTTGCTTTTGTCTTATTGCTTGTAGTTTGACCGTAAATCGCTCCGCTTCTCCATGAAATGCCATGAAAAATCAGAACATATTCATGATAATAGGATTTAACTTATATACACTGATTGTGTAAAGAACTTTTACCCTAGTAGCGTGTTTCAACTTTGTGACAAAACTTGCCTTATTTTTCAGGTTACGAATATATTTTATGGACGATTGGTCGGTTACCGGTACGCTGTAGCTGCTATGTTTAGGTAATCTGATAGCTCAAACTAGAAAGTTCATAGTTTATGTACGTACAAAATAAAAACACTAGTGGTGCAAAATGTAAAAATGAGTTGATCTAGCGTAGTTGTGTTGAGATGTTATCTAACCATTTCTCTTTGATACCAACTAAGCAGATTTTGAAGACAAATCTCATTGTCATATTTCTCAGTTTTCTGGTAAAACCAAAGCTTATAGGCCAAGGGACAATTTTACGTAGACAGACGAAAGGTAACAGAGGCGTGCAAAGGATTCCTCATATCAAACGGAGCTTGGCTCTCAAGTATAAAGACAGAAGGGAGCTTGACTACAAGATCCACCCGTTGAGCAAGGACAAAAGTCGGTCTTAGTAATCTAAGGGTGCCAAGTGGAAGGGTTGTCGCTCAACGGATTGATATGTCATAGAAGCAACTATGAGTTTGCTCATAGTTGAACAGAGTCGGTCTTAGTAATCTAAGGGTGCCAAGTGGAAGGGTTGTCGCTCAACGGATTGATATGTCATAGAAGCAACTATGAGTTTGCTCATAGTTGAACAGGCAAAATTGCTTTATCTGTGAAGTAGATTGTATTCAAGAATGTGCATAGCAGAAACTAAAGGCAATAACAAACACTAAGAAAACACATATACCAGTACAATAGAACAGATTAACCAGAAGAGTTCATCAAACACTCTTTGAGATTAAATTTGTGCATTTTAAATATCTGTGTTAATTAGTATCTAATACATTGCATAACATATGCATTCATCAGACCCGAAAAGGAAAAATAATACTAGTACATAAGAGAACATTTAAGGGGGCCGAAATAACTGTCCGTATATAGTTAGATTATTTTGCAACTTGTTCTAAGATTGGAACTTTTTTCCAAGTGTCTTCTGGTCCACTAATTTGCAATGGGGGCAATGAGAAAACACTGACAGTAGAGCTCTTGCTTCGAATTTCTTTTAAAGATCTTAAAGCAGATATGGTGCTCTTCATGTATAAGCTTTCGATATACTCTATCTCTGTCAGCTCCTTTGGGGCTCTAAGTAGACCATCGCCACTAGTCGAAGGTTCATTTCCATCAGCTTCATCAGTCATACATCGGGCATCAATGACAGGGAATAGATGATCAATTAAATTCTCACATTCCTTCACAAGCTTGTAAAGCAAATCAGTCGTGTAGAAGGGCTGTTGCAAGACCTTCTGAATGAAGGGCAAGCGAAGAAGAGCACCGGTCCTTTTGTCATACTTCTTGAGTATCTTCACGAGCCCTATAAAAAAATAGAAATAGATCAGATTGGCTCATCATCGGAAGCAGATCCAAGATTTAAACTTGATTGGTTCGACCCTTAAGTTTCTTAGCTTTGAACTCCTTGTACTTCTAAAATTATGGGTGCAGATCTAATATCGGTTGAGAGTTTAGTGGGGTTTCACACACACACACACACACACACAGATATATATATATATATGCACACACACTTCATAATGAAAAATACGTGAACCCGTTACCTAAGAGATACATCGGCCACTATTCATCGCTAACTATGAGATTATGCACGTGACTAATATCATGTCTCAAGGTGTTCCTACACCAATTCTACTTTAGCAGACACCACAGATTCAGTGCACAACAATCAGATAATGAGTGTAGATACAAATATACAGCAAACGCACAAACATCAACTCTTATGCAATTCTGAGAATTAATTAAGTTTCAGAGAGATTCGAAAGAAGAGAAATGAATTTACCAGTATAGTTAAGGGCACTGTAATTTTCCAGCAAAACCATCTCCCCATGGAAGTCTACTATCTCCCTGCGAATCTTTATAATCTCATCGTTACGATGCTTGGCCTTTGCAACTCTATCTTGCAACTCCTGTTACCAATTTACAAAACATGTCAAATACAAGATCCAAACTTAACAAGCCTTGCAGAATCAATTATTAGCCTGAACTACATCTCTACAATCAAATCATGGATGCAGAGCAAAACTTTTGTTTCACCCTGCTATTTCAAACTCACACATGATAGCTTAAACCTGAAAAACAACTAACAAATAACTAACGGAACGGTTGAAGCTTGCATAAATCATATACACTCATCAATTGGGTGAGGACAGGGGACCTTTTGACTAAGTGAACAGTTAAATCTTCTTTGAACTTCATTTATGCGACGGCTAAAGTTAAGCACGCAGCTATATCAATCCAACAAACCAGTATACTTTTCACTGCTGTCTCGTCTCTATTTACAAGTTGAATTACATTATTTCATTGATTTATGGGGGTTTTCCCTTTATGCTTGTTCATTAATTACCAAGACAACTTTCGTGCCTTCGCTTAATTCACCAATTTTACTAACAACAAGGGCTCAAATAGCAACAGATACCATTATTCCAACAGCTAAACCTTTCCTAATTGCTGTGACGTGTAAAATAGAATACTAAAACATAATCATAATAAAAATACTGGAACTAAAAGATCCAGATTTAAAGTTAATGAGTTCCTACCGTGACCTCGAATTAATATAGAACAAGAATTGAATTCAACAAAAATATTTATAAATATTTAGTAAATTACTAATGGGCTCACTTGAAGTTGCACTACAAATACGCCCCTCTTAATTACGCTACTATTTATTATATGCTTTTTTACATCACTGTGTTTGATTTTTTAATTACTACATTTCCAGTATTTTATTTTTCTTTTGCACAAACAAGTTTTCAGTTTCAGAAATCCTAAATAAAAAATAAAAAAATCACTGAGGCGTCAGGAAAGAAAAAAGTTACCTTTAACGTAATGATATACTCTTCTTCCTTCTCAACGAAGAAGGAATTGAATTTCTCGAGCTCATCTTCCAACAAATTCACAAAATCAACTTCAGCTTCAGTCATCGGCACCTTTTGTGAGCTATCAAAATCTCCGGCAGCTAATTTCATCTTCTTAGCAACCCTAACATCCTCATCAGCCGCCGCCGCCGCCGGTTTCTTCGGCTCAATCAGCTTAAGCTTTTTCTTCAAATCCTTATAAGACAAAAACTTGTCCCTCCATTCCGGTAACGTTTCTTCTATTTGATTGCTTAAACTTTTCCCGAATTTCATAGCTTTTGATCGAGAAAATCAAATACAGACACAAAAATGTGTTCTGAAATAAGTTAGTGTGAAAATTCGAGAGGAAATGAGGGGAAGTTGGAGGGATTGAATGGTTGTTATAAAGGTGGAGTGTGTGTGTGTGTGAGAGAGAGAGTGAGTGAAAGAGGAGAGAGAATATATTACTGAGGTGGTGGGTACAGTTGGGAATATTCTTTTTATGGTGCTTTATTTCTTTTTTCTATTAGAGGATATCTTTGGGTTTATTCCTTTTCGTTTCTACAAGTTGGTCGTTGGTGGGGCCCGCTGGGATTTTACCGCGTTTTTTAGCCGTCCTGACGTGGCGGCCAGAGAATAGCTGGAGCTAGTGAGTAGACAGAGAAAGAAAGGGTATGCGTTCGAACACTATTTACCCTATTTGATCTTAGCTTAGCATAAAATATTAACTGTTGCACCCGCCAAGTGCCGTCGATGAAACTGATCTTCCATTAACTAGAGGTATCGGATCCGAAATATAGATATGAAAAAATATATGGTAGGGAACGCTTTCTCAGAATGGACCCTATACGAAATTTTTCAAGAGTGTTCAAACTTAAAAGAAGTGAAAAAAATTTTCCGATAAAGAATATGCAATATACGTTATATACATCTACAACCTAATATTTTAGCTACATACACAGTGTAAATTTCCGACTAAGGGTGATCGGTTGACCACCTTTAAGACATGTAGCTTCGCTCCGGTATAGTAAGTGCTACTTTGGTTATATGCGCCTTTATTGTGTAAATATTTCACGTGAAGGAGGAGTGTGTCAAAGTAACTTATATATTAAGCATTTTTCATTTAAAATGAGTTGCTTTTGTCTTCTTGAAAATAATGAGAATAATCTACAAGAGTAGTGTACAGACCTTATCTCTGTTTTGTGTGAGTTAGAGAAACTATTTTAAATAGGCCCTCGGCTCAAAAGTAGTATTTTCAGAACATTTTAAAAAATACAAGAGTAAAGACGCTACAACGAAAATAATGAAAAGGGGAAAGTATTGTAGAAAAAAATAGTAAGATAACCAAATCAAAAGAAATAACAGTAATACTAGAATTGAAGATAATAATAAAAATAATAATAATAATAATAATAATAATAATAATAATAATAATAATAATAATAATTATTATTATTATTATTATTATTATTATTATTATTATATAATAATGCGGAGAAGAGTAAGCAGATAAGGTGCTCTAAACTAATTCTTTTGTTAGAACCGGAAAAAATCAGGTGTCATGCGGAAGCTAGCAAAGCAAACCTTGAGCGACGATAAATCCAACAACAAAAGAGAAATCTACCAAAAAAGACACAAACATATAACTGGTTCGGACAATTGACCTACGTCCACGGCGGAGATGAGCAATCCACTATATAAAAAGAGAGTACAAAACATCGAGAGAACAACCTCACGAAGAGGCAAACACAAGTGACACACTAACACTTGTCCCGTAAAGTTCTCCCCCTAAACACGACTCTCAAACCCCATATGGCTACAGTGTGGATGTTACTGAATGAGAAGGAGGATCCTCTATTTCTAGAAGCCCAAATTTTTTCCTACAAGAAAAGGGACTAGCCCAATATGGAAGAATTATATTTTCTTTCTAGGAAAAGAAAAATCCAATTATGGTAAATATGTTGTCCTTTCCTTTATGAGATAGGAAAACCAATTATGGTAAGAAAATATGGACAAACACCAAATAATTCTCCCCCTTGGCCTGAATTTTCTAACAAAATAAATTTGATCCATTTTCTCCACATAGCCTTCAACAGGTCGCATCTCTAAATCTTCAACATAAAGTTTGTCTCAACGTGCGTAACACACCGGTCAAATTTCTCAGACAAAAATTACGATTATCGTCAAATATGTTGTGGCAAGAACTAAACCCGCCAAGATGAACCTGTCTTGAACCACGCTCTGATACCACTTGTTAGGACCGAAAAAAATCAGGTGTCATGCGGAAGCCAGCAAAGTTGTCACGACCCGAAAATCCCTCCGAAAGAGTCGTGATGGCACCTAGTCTCTAAACTAGGTAAGCCTAACATTAATTGAAATAACATTGATATTTACTAACTTTAAATTAAATTACTCTGATCAAATTATAATTCCCAAAACCGGTAGTACAAGTCATAAGCCTTTCTAAGAGTAGTTATACAAAATAAATACATCATTGTTCCGAAACAAAAGGAAAATATGGAAATAAGTACAATTGAAGATGACTCCGAGACCTGCGAACGCTATATTAGGTTTACCTTGAGCCTCCACCGCAACGACCCACACAACTACAATCGATCAATACCTGGATCTGTACACAAAAATATACAGAAGTGTAGTATGAGCACACCACGGCGGTGCCCAGTAAGTATCAAGACTAACCTCGGTGGGGTAGTGACGAGGAACAGTCAAGACACCTACTGGTCAAACAGATTAAACAGGATATGATAACCAATATCAAGATAGAGGTAACGAAGTAATATCAATAGCACGGATAAATCAACTACAAACAATCGAAATAATAAAAAAAGAAACTCGGATGGAAACGAAAGATAACCAAGTAAATCAACACTAACATAACTGGAACACAAAGAAGTAGAATAAACACAAGTAAGGAAGACAGTATCAACTCAATCAATCATATCATTTCTAGTGCACAACTCCAGCCATCTCAGAACTCGATGTCTCATGTCGTAACCTCAACTTCCAAACCTTTCGCACACCCGGCACCTCGTGCCCACATATTTCTGTCTCACTTTGCACAACAACCTTCTCATGTTACTCAGTATATAGGGTCCATAACCAATGCAATTAAGAAGTTCAAAGAGTCTCATTTACATAACGTAAAGTAGCGTACAACTTCTAAACCAATTAGGAACTCAGCAAGAAAAGATGAAGTTATTTTTAGAAATCATTTGAATACAGAAAGTACCATTTTCAATTAAAATACAACATCGAATGAATTATTACCGTTAACATGGGATTTAATAAATTAACTTAGTAGAAATTCTTTTTTAAGTAAATTACAACTTCAAACGGTTTTAGTGAATTTAATTGAGAAACTAATTGAATTAAAAAATGTAACCATTATTGAAATTTGAAATATTGAAATACATATATATAAATACGGCGAGGTATTGAAAATACTGTTGATACCCAATTTTTTCCTATGTATTTTTATATATACTCAAAATATTCTCAAAATAGTATGTACATGCATATATAAGCATACCCAAGAGTTTTGGTATTTTTCCNACATACCAACATGAGGCCTGAAAGCCTTCTCACAATACACTCGAGGCCTGAAAGCCTCCTCACATATCACTCGAGACCTGAAAGCCTCCTCACATATCACTCGAGCCTGAAAGCCTCCTCACATCACTCGACATATCCTCACATATGGCCCTCGGCCTCAATCAGTCCAAAAATAATCATAAGCCCCTCAGGCATCAGTAAAGACAATAATGCTCAGCTCAAACAATAGTTCAAACATCAGTTAAAACTCAAGGTCGAGTAAAAATTTAGCTGAGTTCATGAAACAGTGTAATTCAAATGGACTGAGTTCAAGTAATATTTTTCAAATAGTGAGGAAAACAGTGATGATAGCTCACAAGGATTTTAAACAGTCGGCAATAAGCCCCAAGTATGGCAATCAGCCCAAGTCATGATAATATCAAATAAGTTTCAATCAAATACGCGGTAAAATCAACAATCGGGACGGACCAAGTCACAATCCCCAACGGTGCTCTACCCCACGCTCGCTATCCAGCGTGCAAGTCACCTCAATATAGCACTACGGCATGCAAATCCGGGGTTTCAAACCCTCATGATATCATTTACAATCATTACTCACCTCGAACCGGTGAAATCTCTAGCTCGCGACGCCCTTGCCCCATCAAATCAGCCTCCACGCGCGTCGAATCTAACCAAAATCAGAGCGAATACATCATAATATGCTAAGTGAACAATACCCAATCGAAAACAATCGAAAAATAGCAACAATCTCGAAACTAGCAAAACCCGAGCCCCGGGTCCACTTCCCGAAAAATTACAAAACTCACATTACCGGATTTCTCGTCTCGCCACGAGTCCATACATACCTAGAACTCCCAAATCCGAGATCAAATGACCTATCAAATCCCAATTTGAAATATCAAAAACTCAAGCCCTAGCTTTACCCCTTTTGATGAATTTCAACCAATTTCCATGCTAAATCTAACATAGTCTCGTGAATTTAGGCCAAGGAACTTACCTCTAATCATTCCTCCTTGAATCCCTCTTCAAAATCTCCTCAAAGCTCTCAAAGCTCGCTCAAAAATGGTGGAAATAACATAACCCTCGCGGAGCAAAAATGAATATAAACTCCTACTGCCTACAGCGATTTTTGCTTATGCGGTCCCGCTTCCGCATATGCGGGACCGCTTCTGCGGCCATTTCCCCGCTTATGCGGTTTCTCACTTAACTTACCACTTGCGCCTTTGCGACATATTCTCCGCTTCTGCGGTTATTCACTCGCACCTGCGGACCCGCTGATGCGAAAAGGGGTCCGCTTATGCGGAACTCATCAATTCAACACAAGATCGCTTCTGCGCTTTTCCACCCGCTTCTGCAGAACCGCTTCTGCGGTCCATTTCCGCAGAAGCGGAAATACCAGATGACATAAATCTCATACCTGAAGCAACTTCCAAAAACTCTCGTTTAACCACTCGAATTCACCCCGAGGCCCCCGAGACCTCAACCAAAAACACAAACACATCCTAACACCTCATTCAAACTTGTTCCAATCCTCAAAACACATCTAACAACGCTAAAACCATTAAATCACATCGGATTCAAGCCTAAGTTTCTTAAAAACTTCCGAATTACGCATTCGATCAAAAACCCAACCAAAACGCCTCCGAATGACCTGAAATTTTGCACACACATCCAAAATTACCTAACGGAACTACTGCAACTCTCGGAATTTTATTCCAACCCTCGGATCAAAATCTCACCTATCAACCGGAATTCGCCAAAATACTAACTTCGCCAATTCAAGCCTAATTCTACACCGGACCTCCAAAATCAATTTTGATCGCACTCCTAAGTCACAAATCATTCCCCGAAGCTAACCGAATCACCGGAAATCACATCCGAGC